GGACTGTGGCTCCTCCTTCTCGGCCGCGAATGCCGATTCCAGGTCCAGCTCCTTCAGGTAGTGGCGGGATTGGCCGCTCGACTCCTCGGTCATCGCCTAGGCAACCGGATCCACAACTCCTGTCAGCAGTGCCCAGCAGTATTCCTCCCAGCACACAGCCTGTTCCTTCGTTCTCTGCTGGTCCATCTGGTGAGCACCCTGCTGTTAATTTTATTCTTTGCTGAATCAATTCCATTTATTTTTAGAAGGCAGACAGGTGGTCCCTCCAACTTCTGATGATGTGTCTCCTGCTTCTGTTTGGGTTCCTGTTCCTTCCCCATCTATCCCTGTTGTTGTTTCTGCTGTTAATACCTGTGTGTCTCCTGTCCCTTCTGTTAGAATGGATGTTCCAGAAGCGTGTCACAGGGAGGCTTTGTCGTGTGTTTTGCCTCCGTTAGGTTTCCATTTTTCTGCCACTTTCAAAGATAGAATTTGGAAAGGGGAGTATGTGGATATTTTGTCCTTGCTCCCTTGTTCCAAGGAATTTTTATCCAGGTCGGATAAAAAAGCTGAGGATGGTTCTGATGTTGATCGACATCGGCCTGTGGCTAGAACTTTTCAGAACTGGCTACAGGCATTCTGTATCTTTGCTAGTGTCCTAGGGGAAAAGCACCCTGCATCATGTAGTGGACTGTTTCAACATGTGGACATAGTTTTGGAGGCATATAGAGGTTTTGGAGGCCTGGGCTGGTTCACATATGACGAATCATTTAGACAAAAGATGTTGGTTCACAGAACTTTACAATGGGGAGTTAAGGATGTCGGTCTATGGCGGAATCTGCTTCTCCCACAGAAAATGCCTGCAGCTAGGCCTCTTCCTGCCCAGCCTTCCAACTCCTCTATTAAGAAAGGGTTATGTTTTTCATTTAATGAGAGCCAGTGCAAATGGCCAAACACTTGTCGGTATAGACATGAGTGTGCCTTCTGCAGTGGTTCTCACCCTGTATTTCGTTGTTTTTAAAAGATGAACACCCCTGGTCACTCGGGGGTTAAGGAGCTTTTTCAAAAAAGTGCAATCTCCAGTGAATCTGGAAAAGCTCTTACCGTTTCTTCTCATTTACCCAGACCAGCGGAAGGCCAGCCTATTATTTGAAGGATTTTTTCAGGGTTTTCCTCTACCCAATTTTGCTGGCCCTGGCGGTGTCTGGGTTAATAATTTGAAATCGGTTGCTAGTTTGGAGCCTATTGTCAGAGACAAGATTTTGAATGAAATTTCTGAGGGGCGGGTGGAAGGTCCTTTTTCCAAGTGCCGAAATGCAGGGGAAGGTAACCATAGCAACCGAGGAACTATCTTAGAGAAAATTATCTCTGTTATTAACCTTAGTGGGGAGACAAGTTTTTTTACCCATTTCGTGTGCACCTTACTGTATAGTTGGTGACAAATTGTTGAGTGCGTTTGTCATTTGTTTTGCTTGACCGATTTGGTGCAGTGACGCATGGGGGTTCTCAGCTGCCACTGGGATGTGCGGGATCCCTTGTGTGTTCCTGTGCCTTTAAGGAGGTTGGGCTTCCTCCTGAAAAACCTGCACCCAATTTGAAATCTTCTGCCCCATGTGCTCCAAGATGGAGACTCTCATAGTTTAGAGTTAGGACCGCACTATAAGAGGTGCCTTGGCTCGGCTGTGCGGCTTTCACATTTTCTGCAGAAGACGTGTATCCAAACCTCTGTTATTAACCTTAGTGGTGAGACAAGTTGTTTTACATGCTGACTTGTGAGTGTGCCATGATGCCTTTCTACTGTCTACTGTTTGAAGCCCATTTCGTGTGCACCTTACTGTATAGTTGGTGACAAATTGTTGAGTGCGTTTGTCATTTGTTTTGCTTGGAAAAGATCAGAAGGCGCATCAACAGGACGATGGAGAAGTTTATGCCCTTTGTGGGTGGCTTTTCTTATCGACATGTCGATCTTGAAGGTGGTGTTCACGCTATTTACCGAAATGATGCTGTTCATCTTTTTCGGATGTTGGTCTCAAAATTGATATTTTCAATCTTGGGTTGCAGAATTGTTTAGAAATGCCTGTGGTGGGGGTGCCAGGCTTTAGTTAAAGCCTGGCTTGTGGGGACATTTTAAAAGATGTTGACAAATGTTTATCATTATTGATGTGCTTGGGCCTTTCTAGCCAAGTACTAGTTGAAGTTATGTTATTTATTTATATATTTTAAAGATTTTAATTTATGAGTAAACCAATAAAAAAATGCCGCGGCCATTTCTTGCCACTTGGAGTGTGTTCGTTTTTATTTTAGTAATATAATAAGTTTGTTTGGTTTGAATGTTGCTTGCTTTTCCATGAGGATAAAGAAGCCAGCTACTGATGACGTAAATAGTTAAAGGAGAACTATGATGTGACTGCTTTTAACTCACCTCATAGTTCTAGCCGACATGTGACAATGAGACTGTCACAGGTTGGCTCAGTAGATCGCGAAGTGAGCGAACACATACCGGCGTTCGCTCACTTCTCGATCCTGTTACGGCTCTCTGCCGTGACAGGGGAGGGGCTGAATTCCCCCCTCCCCGCTCCGATCCTCCAGCTCTGACTGGCGGAACGGGATCCGCTTCAGCTGCGGCGTCTCAGTATACCGCAACCTGCAGCTCGCGGTATACTGAGCTTAGGGTGATGGGAGGACGCTAGTTTGCATCCTCCCGTTACCCTAAAGAGAACTATGGGGAAAAGCCCTAACCCCATAGTTCTCCTTTAAAATGGTGTAGAAGGTTTTACAGACTGGAAAGACCCATGGGAGTTTAGATTTCATACCGAGGCAGTTAAAGATCGGGATCTGCAATGTGTTTACTAGAGAAAGTTATTGGACGCTGGCAGTTAATTCAAACCCATTAACATAGGTTATTACTACCGTAGTGATCCTGCCAGTAAGTCTGTTATTTCTCAACTTAGCTACACAGCTAAAGCAGAAGTTAGAGGGTTGTTACAATCCATTTAACACTGAAGTTTACAATGATCAGTTTTTATTCACGCAAGTAAAATCTTTATCCCAAACGGAAAATATCCTGTTGCTGTAACTGCTTCAACAGTGTTAGCTGGAGTTAGGCTTTATTTGTTAGTTACTTATGTAAAGTCCTTCTAAATCTTCTAGTCCATCGTGGGCAACCAGACGATTGCGATTCACCTGTAGGTTGCAGCCAACTGTGGGGGAGATCGCAACCGCCTATGCTGCCAGCTTCTGACCTCAGCAGCCACCTTTTAGACTTCATATCAGAGCTTTGATGTGAATGCAGTAGCTGAGGGAAATCCTAGGCTCCTCCTCTGCTCTGCACCCTGTGTTACCTACTCCTGACCCCTGGGCTCTGGGTTAATTACTTCTGACCCGCTCTCTGTGTTACCTACTCCTGACACCTGCACTCTGCATTACTTATGCCTGACTCCTACACTCTGCATTACTTACACCTGACCCCTACACTCTGCATTACTTACACCTGACCCCTGCACTCTGCATTATTTACTTCTAACCCCTTCCTTCACTCTGTGTTTCATACTACATACCTCTGAACTCTGAGTTAATTACTCCTGAACATTGCACTCTGTGTTACATACTCCTGACCCATGTATTCGGTGTTACCCACTCCTGAACCCTGCACTCTGCATTATTTACTCTTGACCCCTGCACTCTGCTTTGCATGCTACAGATCTCAGAACTTTGCATTACTCCTGACCCCGGCACACTGTGCATTACTTACTCCTACACCCTGCACTCTGTGCATTACTTACTACTGAACTCTGTTACTCTCCACTGACCCCTGAACTCGTCAAATATTCTTACTTTTTAATGGGGTCTTGCTAGGTTATTTCTTAACATTTTTTATTTTTTTCATGTTGTACAGGCTGAGCTCCACCTCTCCAATGTTACCTGCCCCTGATCTAAATAGTACCTTCTCCCCAGATTGACAGTGTTGTTGTAAAAAAGTGGCTATGCTGCTCCTCCACAGATACAGCATAACACACCTCCTGTCTTAGGGTAATCACTAGTCGGATCAACAATTGAAAATAAAGGTTAAAATAAAAACAATGCGGCCACTAAGGACTGGTAAGCAGCAATCTATTACATTTTTGTTCTTGGATTTTGATACACTTTTAAAATAATTTTGTGGGTACAAGAACTGCAGCATGTGTTTGCAGTGCAGTGGACTGGGGTTGTTTTACTAAAGGCAAATAGGTGTTCACTTTGCAAAGGATGTTTCCCTTAGCTTGGTGAATGTGGTGGAATGTCACTTTGCAAAGAATACCCAATCATGTGCAAGGAAAATAGCTTAGTGAATAAGGTGAAGCTCTGCTGTCTTCCATCATCAAATCACACTTGCACATGATTGGATGATGGAAGTCAGCAGACGTTTACCTTATTCACTAAGCTAAGGAAAAAAATCACAAAGCTAAGGGAAAATTCCCTTGCAAAGTGTACAATCTATTTATACCCACAATGTCTACCCACCCGTCTACTTGTTAAAAGCCCCCGTTTCTCACATTCTGAGGCTGGGAGGTATGCCATCATCTCCTATAATAGAAAGCCACAAATGCACAGTAGCAAACAGCACAGGATCTCTGAGCAGGGGTTAAAAGTCACCCAGAAGAGGCATTGTTGTTGGTACAGATTACATTTAAACGGTAGCTTAAATAAGGCTCCATTCACATATAGCGTTAGCGTTTCCTGTGCGGTTTTCCGTGCGGAAGTGCTATATGTGAAACAACTGCAGAGATTCCACAAGGCTATTGTATAGCCGCTAATGTGGGGAATCCGCCGTATTAGAACGCACTATTTTGGGGGCAGCACAGTTTCTATAGTCTGAACAATGCACATTAAAGTGCATTGTTTTCCCTGTTTAGAGTGGCTGAGTGCGTACCTGCACTACCGAATACTCGCAGACAGCCGCTGCATTGTGAATGGAGCCTAAAGGTTAAACTAAACACTATGAGCAATGCCATAAGGGGCTAAAGTGTGAAAAATGTACTTACCTGGCTGTGCTGTTGCATCCCAAAATCCGTGTCACAATGATTGTGCTGCCTGTGTTGCTGCAGCGTTTATTCTTACATAGGAGCTGCTCACAATGTACATTCCTTTTTGTCAAACTAGCTATAATTGAAAAATTTCACTTTATACCTGAAAAACATCACTGAAACTGAGAACAAAAAAAGGATGAAACAGAATTTGGAGAGTCTGTAAACAGGTGATCACAGATATCCACCATGATCAAGTCTGTGTCATACTATCCTATGTAAAACTGTTATATCTACAAGACGTGACTATCCTCCAGCAACTTCCAAAATGGCTTTACATGAACTTGTACTTTGACTTTACTGGGCACAGTAAAAGGTTCACTTCACAGGAGAGACTTTAACCCTTTTGATTTCAGTGTCACCTTCCATTTTGTAATTCAGATGTTCAAACTAATTTACCTTTCCACACATAAGATACATGAATGCTTGTTAAGCACCCTCCAAAACCATATTTTTAAAGCAGGGGATCTATAGAATAAAGGTAATTCATAAGGTAGTATTCATCTTGCACACCACATGAAAGTTGTACAATTCTTATAAAAAATACACAGCATACAGTAATTATCACAGCATTGTTAAGCTTGTGAAAGACCCCGGGCCACCTAGGGTACACTGACAAAAGGAATTCTGTGGTATGTAATGTGTTTTGTTGTACAGTGGCCAGATCGTGTGTTTCATATACGTGTGTCAAACGCCCCAAAAAAAAAGCATGCTTTCACGAAACGTGTCAAAAATTCAAAACGTGCTTGCTGTGCCATTACCATTAATGGCACCCCAAATGCGGACAGGAAGACTTGCATTTTTTTCCTCCGCATTTGCACGTGTTAAAATACGCACAAACGAGGATAAAAAAAACACAGAATGCATGTCACGGATTTTGCTACATGCTCTACTATTCTGCGTTTGTCGTGCATTCAGGACCCCATTGAAATAAAAAAACGCACATATAAGTGCGTGAATGCGGCACACGTTCCCGCTACTCTCAGGTATGAATGGGTACTAACAGTGGGAGTGGCTCAAAGGGGGACAATTAAATAAAACCTAAGCCTATTCACATTATACAGCACAAACATGCAGCAGTCCTTGTTTCTATGGAATATGCTTTGATTACTGTGCTGAAAGTAAGTCTCACAGAGACACATTAAGGCCTCATTCACATACAACGCAAGAGCAAAATTGTATATTGTGTATATACGCGTCTATGCGCGTATATACGAGCGTCTATGCGCGTATATTTACAAGCGTGTATGCGTGCACTATTTGCATTCCCAGAATGCCTCATTCCTAATAGAAATTTTTATGAACTATACGCATGTACACGCATATACGTGCGTATATATGCGCAATCATGCGTATGCGCGTAAAATACGCAGAAATACGCTGCCCGGACGCATCTCTGTTCCATTCTGTTTTTGCCCATATATATGCTACGCATATATACGGCTCCATACGTGGCTATGTGTATGGAGCCATTTATTTGCATATGTTACATATGGTACAATACGCACATACGCGCGTATATGGGCGGCAGTGTGAATGAGGCCTTAAGGATCATTTTTAAATATGACACTCTTCCATTGCAAATTATTTTCTGCACACAGAATATAGATAAACAGGTAACACTTCGCCCGAGCATACCTTAACCACTTCGGAACCAGAGCATTTTTTTTAATTTTCCACACACATGTTAAAATCTGAATTTTTGGTTAGAAAATTATCTTTAAAAGAGAAAACACAAATGATACATTTTCTGAAAGCAGAGGCCCGGTAGAATAAAAATTGGTAGTTGCAATTTTTTATGCTGCATGATATTTGTGTCAAGTAAACAGATACCAAACATGGCAAACCTTAAAATTGTGCATGCCCGTGAAATGGCAAGAAACTACGGTTCCCTAATTTGTCCATAGGCGATGATTTCAATCCTTTAACGCTCATCACTTTAGAGTTAACAATGGCTGTAGAATAATTGACCTCATTCTGACGTTCTCAGTGATACCTAGCATGTGGCACATTGTTTACATAAAAAGGGTTGCTTTTAAATGTTTTTTTCTTCTCTTTTTTATGTAATTATACCTTACTTTTTTTACTCTTTTTTGTTTATTTAAAAGGCCGAAGACAGCAAACCCAGAAAACATGGTGAAGATGGCAGCTCCCATTGGATGTATAGAAAAACTCAATTTGGGAGCTATAAAGCAGCCAGCAACTGTTATGACAATAAACACTTTAGTCTGGACTATGTAACAAATAACATAATGTATACAGTACTAAGTCATGAGTCTATAATTAAAAAAAAAAGTAGAGTGTGGCAGTCAGGACTAGGTATCATATAAAATGCGGCAGTCAGGACTAGGCATTATATAGAATGCGGCAGTCAGGACTGGGTATCATATAGAATGCGGCAGTCAGGACTGGGTATCATATAGAATGCGGCAGTCAGGACTGGGTAGCGTATAGAGTGCGGCGGTCATGACCGGGTAGCGTATAGAGTGTGACAGTCAGGACTGGGTAGCGTATGGAGTGCGGCAGTAAGGACTGGGTAGCGTATATAGAGTGCGGCAGTAAGGACTGGGTAAGGTATAGAGTACGGCAGTCAGGACTGGGTAACGTATAGAGTGTGGCAGTCAGGACTGGGTGGCGTATAGAGTGCAGTGGTCAGGACTGTGTAGCGTTTAGAGTGCGATAGTCAAGACTATGTAATGTACAACATTGCATATACAGTGCACTGTCAGCACCATGTAATGCACAGCTTTACGTTGGTGGTAACTGGTGAGTGCCAATTTTAACGTTGGTTGTCACTGTACTCTCCTTAATCTTGATGGTCAGTGCACCCCTAAAGCGATAGTAAACCGCTGTGAGAAGGGTGTGTTTTTGCCCTAATGTGCAAGCATATACAACATACAGTACTTGCACATTAGGGCACACTTACCTTACAAGTGTGCACTTCTCCAGCGCTGTTGAATCAATCTTCGGTCCCCCGTCAACAACATCTCCGCCACTGACACTTCAGGGTTCCCAGGGTTCCTCTTCAGCCATTAGATGGCCACTGATGATGTAACTCCTGTGCATGTGCACAGGAGTTACATGAATCCAGTGAGGCCAGGGACAGCAGACAGAGGCATCTGTGTAAGGTCTGCATGAAAGAGTTTAGAGAGACAAGGGAAAGCGATGATTAATTAGTTAGCTAAGGGCTAGCTCACACCACAAACAGTGTGCTCTGGTCCAATTTGGCGCCGGAACGCAGTGGATCGCATCCTGGCCGACTCCCTGCATGCAGCATTTTTTCTGACAGCACCAGACCGGAAAGCAGGTATTGATGTTCCACGCATTCGCGTACGGGCGATCGCACTGCGGCCGAGGGGCGCGGCTGCGGTGCCATTGACTTCAATGCACCACTACACCCCTCCCACCCCTGAAAGCAGGGATCCGGCTAAAATGCCATCCAGTGCGTTCTGGCACCAAATCGGACCGGAAAACACTGTTTGTGGTGTGAACTAGCCCTAAACAATAAAGGAGAAGTGAGATGGGACAAACCTGATTGGTTAGAAGAAGGGGCTAGGAGGAGGAGTTATAGGTGGATCCCAGAAGAAAGAATGTGTTCTGATACAATATCTAATAAGATGGCTGCTGTGGTCACAAAAACCCAACCCTAGTGTTGTGTCAGTTAATTTAATTTGGTTGACCAAGTAACCCCAGAACATATACAATACCCTTATTACGGCATCAGCCAACAACGTCCTTAACAACCAGCAACATTGACAGTGGGTGGAGCCTGATAGGGAACTCTGAGGTTGGCTATTGGACATGGCCATGTATAGGTAATGATGTCAGCCAGCATCCCCAGCATCTTTGTTTACATTCAGCTGCTGGTTGCAACAGCTGCCAACAGCTGAATGGGGCCTTAGGAAGTGTCCTTGTTTGTTTGCAACTATGAGCGAGAAGCTGTCATTCATGAGAGCTTCCCAGGAAAATCATACCCCACTCTGAGCACTGGCGTCTCTTTCTGTATGCCAGATCAGAATCGGCCTGGCAGTTTTCTAATCTGTACACTGGCAGTAATTCATTTTGAATCTGTTGCAGCCATATCAACGAATTCTTAAAATGGCGATATTAAGAACTACCTGGATCTATCGCAAGTGTTGGGAAAGCTACCAAAACTGGCGATGACATGCCTTTTTAAATTTGGTACAGAACCTTTTAAAGGTCCATACCACCAGAAAAGTGGCACAAAGACATTGATGAATTCCCCCAATATATTTAGTGAGCCTATATTTTCATTTTCCTGAAAATGAATTAAATCTACAATAGTTGAATCTTTGTACTATTTATTAGTTGTATTGCATTTTCTTTTATATAATAGATGTATTAAGATAATACATTTCTAACAATTATTTTGCTTAATCTATTGTAATGTTCAAGTTGGACCTGATACTCCAACCTCCTGGTTTGAGTTAAAGTGGACCTTTACCCCCCAGGGTTGGTGCTAGACTATTTTGCACCCTAGACAAGACCAGCTACTTGCACCCATCAGCCCCCCTCCCGCGGTGCAACCCCCAATCCCGCCACCGCATGGCTCCATTCTCCTGCCGGCTAGCTTCCGCAGGTGACAGGTGGATGTACTCAACCCTCAGCTGGGAGCAATAGCCAGACTGCTATTGGCTATTTTAATTTAAAAAAAGTCAATAGCAGACTGGCTATTGAAACCCCACCCAGTGAGCAAAGGAGCGGAAAGTTGTCTCTCAGTTCCGCTTCTCAGCTCAGTGGGCAGGTGCAATAGCCAGTTTTTGCAATTTGAAATAGACGGAGAGAGCCATGGGGGGGTGAGAGGTTGAAGCTGTGCCCTAGGCAGCAGTGCACCCTAGGCGGCTGCCTAGTTTGCCTAGTGGCAGCACAGGCCCTGCACACATACACAATAATGCAAACCCCACACAGAAATACAGACATACACAATAATGCAACAATGCACACACAGAAATACACAATAGTGCAAGCAACCCCCCTTACACACAGATACAGAATAATACAACCCCACCC